GAGGGAGGAAGGGAGGGAGAGGGAGAGACAGAGAGAGAAAGAGAAACATCAATGTGAGAGAGACACATAGCAACCTGACCTGGGTATGTGCCCTGACTGGGTATGGAACCTGTGACCCTTTGATGCATGGGACAATGCTCCAACCAACCAAGCCACACTGGCCGGGTTGTCTAATTATTTTATTGATGAGAGAGAGAGGGGGGGGGGGGGGGGGGGGAGAAAAAAAAAAAACGACTTGTTGCCCCCCCTATTTATGTATTCCGGGGGTGCTTCTTGTAGCCCCCCCCGGGGGGGGAAAAACCCCCCCCCCGGGGGGGAAGAAAGGGGGGACCTTTTTGGTTCGGGGGGGCGGCCCTTTGAAAAAAACAAACTTAATTTTGGGGCGGGGGCGCGTAAAGGAAATTTTTTATATTTGCAACCATAGTAAAACAAAGACTTATATCTTTGATATTTATTTTATATATTTAAATACCATTTAACAAAGAAAAATCAACCAAAAAAATGAGTTCGCCATCACTGGTGTAGGAGAATGCTCTGACCAACTGAGCTACCCTGCCAGGGTTAGGTTTGTCAAATTTGTTGATCTTTTCAAAGAACTTTTGGTTTCATCACATTTTTTTCTATTGTTTTTCTGTTTTTTATTTCATTTATTTCTGTTCTAATCTTGATTTTTTTTTCTTCTGCTTGCTTTGGGTATTATTTGTTCTTTTCTGGTTTCTTAAAGTGAAAAGGTAGGTTGTATATTTGAGATCTTTCTTCTTTTCTAATACAGTGGGGCCTTGACTTACTAGTTTAATTCGTTCCGAGACCGAGCTCATTAAGGAGCTCGTTAACTCAAATTACTCTGTCAACTCAATGCAAAAAATCCGGTGAGAGACAGCTGGTATCTCAAAAAACTCGTTAGTCGGGACACTCGTAAGTCAAGGCCCCACTGTATAGGCATTTACCCTGTAGATTTTCCTCTAAGCATTACTTTAGGTGTATCATTTAACTTTTAGTTTATTGTATTTTTTCAGTGGTTTCCTCTATTTCTATTCCATTAAGAATTATTTTAATGGATATTGAATTTTATCAATGTCTTTAGCATCAGTGAAGGTGATTATATGAGTTTTATTGTTTTGATTTATTAATAATGGCAAGTTATATTAATAGTTTTTTAATACTGGACTCTCCTTACATTTTGTTTTGTGTGTCTATTTATAATCCTTGCATTTTTGACAGAAATTTTAGTTGGTTGTGCTGTATTCTTTTGATGTTCTGATGGTGTTTATCTGGTAACATTCTTTTTTTAAAGCTTTTTAAAAATTGAGATATAATGACATACAACATATTACTTTCAGGTGTACAATATAATGATTGATATTTGTATATATTGCAAAATCATTGCCACAATAAGTCTGGTTAACATTTGTCACCACAGTTACAAATATCTTTTCTTATTATGAGACCTTTTAAAATCTCTTAGCAACTTTTAAATATGCAATACTGTATTATCTATAGTCATCATACTTTGTAGCCCATCCCTATGACTTATTTATTTTGTAACTGGAAGTTTCTACCTTTTGACCTATTTGGCCCATTTCCCACTCCTATCTGTGGCAACCAATCTGTTCTCTGTATCTATGAATTTGGACTTGTTTTTGTTTGCTTGTTTGTTTGTTTGGTTTAGATTATACATATAAGTGAGATCATATGGTATTTGTCTTTCTTTGTCTAATATATTTCACTTAACATAATACTCTCAAGGTCCATCCATGTTGCCGCAAATAGAAAGATTTCGTTCTTTTTTTATAGCTGAATAATATTCTAGTGTGTGTGTGTGTGTGTGTGTGTGTGTGTGTGTGTGTCACATTTTCTTTATTCTTTTATCCATTGATAGACACTTAGGTTGCTTCTGTGTCTTGGCTATTGTAAATAATACTACAGTGAACATGGGGGTATATCTTTTCTTTTTATTATTAAATTTATTGGGGTGACATTGGTTAATAAAAAGGGGGTCTATGTCTTTTCAAGTAGTGTTTCATTTTCTTCTGATAAATGGCCAGCAATGGAATTGCTAGATCATACGGTAGTTCTATTATTATTTGAGGAACCTCCATACTGTTTTCCAGCCAATTTACGTTCCCACCAATGGTGCACAATGGTTCCCTTTTCTCCATATCCTCACCAACACTTGTTATTTCTTAACTTTTTAACAATAGCCGTTCTAAAAGGTATAACGTGAGATTTCATTGTGTTTTATTTTACATATATATTTTTATTGATTTCAAAGAGGAAGGGAGAGAGAGATAGAAACACTAATGATGAGAGAGAATCATTGACCGGCTGCCTCCTGCACACCTCCTACTGGGGATAGAGCCCGCAACCTGGGCACGTGCCCTTGACCGGAATCGAACCCGGGACCCTTCAGTCCGAAGGCCAACGCTCTATCCACTGAGCTAAACCAGCTAGGCTCATTGTGCTTTTGATTTGTATTTCCCTGATGGTTAGTGATATGGAGCATCTTTTCGTGTATCTGTCAGTGCTCTGTGTGTCTTTGGAAAAATGTCTATTTAGATCCTGTGCCCATTTTTTAATTGATTGCTAGTTTTTTTGCTGTTGAGTTTTAGAAGTTTATTTGTTGTTTTTTTAAAAAATATGCTTTTATTGATTTCAGAGAGTAAGGGAGAGGGAAAGAGAGGTAGGTACATCAATGATGAGAGAGAATTGTTGATTGGTTGCCTCCTGCACGCCCCCTACTGGGGATCAAGCCTGCAACCTGGGCATGTGCCCTGACTGGGAATTGAATGATGACCTGGTTCATGGGACTACACGCAACCAACCGAGCCACACCGGCTGGGCTCAGTGCCTTTGCTTTTGATGTCAAACCCAAAAAGTCGTCACTTAGACCAAGGTCAAGGAGCTTACTGCCTGTTTTCTTCTAGGAAGAATTTCAAGTTTTACATTCAGTTTTTTAATGCATTTGAGTTAGTTTTATGTGTGTGAGATAGTAATTCAGTTTCACTCTTTGGCATGTGTTTTTCCAGTTTTCCCAACAGCGCTTATGGAAGAGACTGTCCTTTCCCTGTTGAATACTCTTAGCTCCTTTGAATTAATTTATCATATGTATGAGTTTATATCAGGGCTCTCTACTTCATTCTATTGACCTGTGTGTCTGTTTTTGTGCCAGTATCATACTGTTTTGATTACTGTAGCTTTGTAATATAGTTTGAAATCAGGGGGCATGATGCCTCCAGTTTTGTTGTTCTTTCTCAAGATTGCTTTGGAGATTTGGGGTCTTTGTGGTTCCATACAAATTTTAGGATTGCTTGTTCTACTTCTGTGAAAATGCCATTGGAATTTTAACAGGTATTGTATTGAATCTCTAGATTGTTTTGGGTAATATGGAGATATTAATAATACAGGGCGGGACAAAAGTAGGTTTACAGTTGTATGTACATGAAACAATTTTTCTTCATATGTGAAACACAGTTTATTCTTGTATTATTTATTAATTATTGTATTATTTTCCATACGAACAACTGTAAGCCTACTTTTGCCCCACTCTATATTAATTTTTGCAGCCCATTAATACAGGATATCTTTCCAAGCATTTTTAAATTTCATAGAAATAAGTGGTATTTTCTGAGGTTTACTTTTATTATACTTGGGGCAGATTTTATTATCTATGTTACGTGGTCTTTATGAAAATAGTTTGGAACTATGTTTTCTTCTTCAGTGATTTGAAACAATTTAATAGCATTGGAGCCCTGGTTTAATATAAGAATTCTCTGGAAACCATCTGGCCTCGTGCTTGCTTGTATGTTTTCTCTCTGACTCTCTCAGGAGTAGCCAAGTTCTCTTACTGGTCTTTTCTGGCCCAGGAACTCTAGGAATATTTCTCACAAGCATCTTTTTCCTGCTTGCCTTAATTGAAATTGTACTGCAGTGCAAACATGTTGGGGACACATAGTTCACCTTCTTTGTAGGAATGTTATGAAACCAGAGGCTTTAATTAACTTTGTCATAATTAATTAGAATGCTTATTAAATAATAACAAAAGTTTCATGTTGGATATTGTTGAGTCTTTTTGAGTTATAATCTACCTTTTTACAAATGTATTCAATGTTATAGAAGCTCATTTTTACTTAATGGAAATGTAATTAATCTCTGTTTCTTTATTGTATAGAAATTTACAGCAACAATGTCAACACCAGATAAGAAAGCCTCACAAAAGATTGGTTTTCGATTACGCAACCTACTCAAGCTTCCCAAAGCACATAAATGGTGCATATATGAGTGGTTCTACTCAAATATAGATAAGTATGTATCATGAGTTATATGATGAATATTACTTGAAGCAAAAATTTAAGTTTTTCAAACGTTATAAGCTATAACCTTTTCTGTAGGTCCATTTTGATCCTATCTTTTCCTAAATTCTTTTTTCTATTCTTTATTCTGGTTTGATCTGTTGCCATTTCTCATAGTTTTCTTCCCCTTTTTTGAGGAAGAAGTTATTATACATTTTAGTGTAAAATAAAATGAAAGTATAATTTTTATATTATAATTTATAACGACTGTGACACAAAGAACCAGTATTTGCAACGAATGGGACTTGTTTTATAAGTGTTCAGATTTTAAGTGTTAGTATAATAGTAGAGAAATCGTGGATTCAATAAGATTTCTAGACGGATAGTCTTTCTTATTTGGTAGCACTTAGGAACTTTAGTTACACATAAGCGTTTAAATAAAACATTAAGAATCTATGCAATAACAGTGTTTACTGAGGAAGAATGTTGGTTTCTCAGCCATCACATTCTATTCCCTGCTGGTTATGGGTGGTGCTTTGCTGGCTACTTATCTTTACTTCCCTTCCACGTCAGTTGCCTACTCTCATCTGGTAAATCTCGTGAATGTTCATATTTAAGCCCAAGACCTTTCTAAAAAATATATATATTTTTATTGATTTTTAGAGAGAGAGGAAGGAAGAGGGTGAGAGAAAAAGAAACATTGATGTGAGGAGAACCATCAGTTGGCTGCCTCCTGCATGCCACATACTGGGGATCAGGCCCACAACCCAGGCATGTGCCTAGACTGGGAATCGAACCAGTAACCTTATGGTGCACAGGACAACACCCAACCAACTGAACCACCCTGGCCAGAGCCCAAGACCTTTGTGTATCATTGCTGGTTCTTGATTGCCCAAACCCATGAATAGAATTATTGTTGTCCACAGGTTTTCCATAGGTGTATAAGCAGGCTCTGAGGGTGTCGGAGTGTGGTCTGAGTTCTTGAATTCCATTCTAACTTTCTGGAGTGCTCCAGTCTTCTAAAATGGATTTATTCTCAAAGAGGACTCCTTGATGAAGGTGTTCCTTTTGGGACAAACACTTTGCAGCTAACATTGCTTATCCTCGCGGGTGCCATGCCAGAGCCAGGATAGCCCCGAGGGTATACTCCTGAGGACATTGAACATCAGTGTCTGCTGGGCCTCTCGAGCACAGGCTAACTGTTACACATGACTTGTTCCACAAAAGCCAAGAATTTAATGCAGTTTTAGCCCTTTGTGTATCTGATGTGTATATATTTTGTGTAAAACTGAAAGTTTGCATTTTGTGATTAGTTTGATGTTGAAAATTGAAATGCATATTTAAGTTTTTGTCTCTTTAAGTAACACATTGTCTATTAACCATTAAAATACCATTTCTATTTTGTAGACCGCTCTTTGAAGGTGATAATGATTTCTGTGTATGTCTAAAGGAATCTTTTCCTAATTTGAAAACAAGAAAGTTAACAAGAGTAGAATGGGGAAAAATCAGGCGGCTAATGGGAAAACCACGGAGGTAAGAAGGTTTTGTTTCAAGTAAAATCAGTATGTTGGGAGTGTCATTACTACGTTGATTTAGGTTCACAACTGAATTGAGAGGAAGGTGTAGGGGTTTCCCATATACCCCCTTGCCTCCACACAGGCATAGCCTTCACAGTGATCAACATCCTCCAACACGGGAACATGTATGACAATTGGTGAACCTACATCAACACATTATAACAGTGATGGCGAACCTGTGACACACGCAAACTCATTTTTTTGGTTGATTTTTCTTTGTTAAATAGCATTTAAATATATAAAATAAATATCAAAGATATAAGTCTTTGTTTTACTATGGTTGCAAATATCAACAAATTTCTATATGTGACACGGCACCAGAGTTAAGTTAGGGTTTTTCAAAATGCTGACACGCCGAGCTCAGAAGGTTCGCCGTCACTGCATTATAACCATCCAAAGTCTGTCGTTAACATTAGGGTGCATTCTTGGTGGTGTACTTTCGGTGGGTTTTGAGGACTATATGAGGACATATACCCGCCATTATCATCAGACAGAGTAGAGTCCCTGCCCTAAAAATCCTCAGCTGCACCTGTGCGTCCCTCCTCTCCACCCAACTCCTGGCAGCCACTGACCTTCCTATCATCTCCCTAGTTTTGCATTCTCAGAATGTCATGCATTGGAATCATAGAGTATGTAGCCTTTCCAGACTGGCTTCTTTCACTTAGTAACTCATGGTTTGATAGCACCTTCTTTTTAGCCGTGAATAGTATTTCATTATCTATATGTACACCATTCACTATGAAGGACACCTCGTTGCTTCCAGTCTTTGATGATTAGGAAGAAAGCTGCTATAACCACCCATGTGCAGATTTTAGTGTGGACCTAAGTTTTCAGTTCATTTGTGTAAATACCGGGGCTGTGGTTGCTGGATCATATGGTAAGAGTATGTTTAGTTTTATAAGAAACCAATGAATTGTTTTCCAAAGTGGCTGCACCATTTTGCTTTCCCGCCAGTAGTGAATAAGAGTCTTATTGCTTCATGGCCTGGCTAGCATTTGTGCGTGGACTTTGGCATTCTAATAGAATAGTGGCATCTCGTTTCATTTGCATTTCCCTAATGACATATTGTTACAGAAGAACGGAGAAAAACTAAGCAACATTTAGAGAAAGGGAGTTACATTTTATTATTATTATGCACGGGCCCAGAGAAAAATGTCTTTCAAATTCTGAGCCCCCAACATGGAGGAAACTTTCCTTATTTATACTTTTTCCAGTTCTTTGTCTCCCAAATTTGGCAGGCCTTCTGAGAAAGGAGGCCTGTGTGCTGGGAAGGGGCCATGAGACCATATCTCAAGGCCTGGCCTGGTGCCAGCTCTGTCTGGGGCATAGTTTACGGCCTCTCTGGAATGGGAGTGAGTGTTATTTTCCTTATTTAAGCAACAAGCATTTACAGAAGCCAAAATTGCAGGGTTAAAATTTCAAACAGCAGGTTTTGTATAAGATGGATGCTTCAATATGATGTGGATCATCTTTTCATATGTTTATTTGTCATCTATATTTCTTCTTTGGTGATATTTGGTCTCTTAAAAGTTTAAACATACACTGGCCATGTGACCCATCCATTTCACTCCTACGTATTCACATAGGAGAAATGAAAGTATATGTTTACACAAAAACCTATACACAAATGTTCGTGTCAGCTTTGTTGTAAAAGCCCCAAACAGGAAACAACCCAAACGTGCACCAATAGGAGAATAGATAAACAAATGGTGATGCGTCCATAGAATAGAATACTGTTTTCCAGTAAAAAGGAATGAACCACTGATACATGACAACATGGATGACTCTTAGAATAACTATGCTAAATGAAAGAAGTCTGACAAAAGAGTACCTACTAGATGATTCCATTTATATAAAATTTTAGAAGATAGAAATGATAATGATGGAAAGCAACTCAGTGATTGCTTAGGAAATGTGAGTATAGAAGTAGGAGGAGAGGAGAAAACCAAGATGGCGGCATAGGTTAACGCTGGAGTTTGCTGCCTCGAACAACCACTTCAAAAATACAACTAAAAGACGGAACGGACATCATCCAGAACCACAGGAAGGCTGGCTGAGTGGAAGTTCTACAACTAGGAGGAAAGAGAATAGCATACCGAGACTCAGAGGAGGCGCAGTGCTGAAGTGAAATACTAAGGTGCGGAGTGGGCTGGCGGCTGAGGGCGCGGTTGTTGTTTTCAATCGGGAGGGAGTCTCAGACTCTGAGCTCCAGATCCGGGCGAGTCTCTAGGGACCCAGACTCAAACGGGAGAAGTGAGACTGTCTGGCTTCGGTCGGAACTCGAAGGCAGCTTTCTCTCCGAGGTTTGCAGCGGTTGCTGGGACTCTGAGAGGCAGAGCCCCTGGGGACGGAACTGAGAGCAGCCATAACTGCTCGCTCTGCCCACCCTGTAGATCCCCTGGGACCCGCCCCGCCCAAGCCCTGCACAGAGGCATTTGCCGGATAGCCTCAGGCAAAGGCTAGATTAGCACCTCCTTAGAGGACAGTAGTTCTCCCACTGCAGACACAGCTGATTCTCACAGCCAGTTAGCCTGGAGGTCAAATCACCCCCAGTATTGCCGACAACAATCAAGGCTTAACTAGAACAAGACTGTGCACAAAGACCACAAGGGGGTGCACCAAGAAAGCATAAAAAATGCGGAGACAAAGAAACATGACAGAAATGGAGGGTATAGAGCTCAAAACCGCACTTTTTTTTGTTTGTTTGTTTGTTTGTTTTTTTATTCATCAAAAGATTTTTTTTTTTTAAAACCGCACTTTTAAGGTCTTTCAATAATTTTCTAGAAACTGCCGATAAACTTAATGAGATCTACAAGAAATCTAATGAGACCCTCGATGTTGTGATAAAGAACCAACTAGAAATTAAGCATACACTGACTGAAATAAAGAATATTATACAGACACCCAACAGCAGACCAGAGAAGCGCAAGAATCAAGTCAAAGATTTGAAATGTGAAGAAGCAAAAAACACCCAACCAGAAAAGCAAAATGAAAAAAGAATCCGAAAATACGAAGATAGTGTAAGGAGCCTCTGGGACAGCTTCAAGCGTACCAACATCAGAATTATAGGGGTGCCAGAAGATGAGAGAGAGCAAGATATTGAAAACCTATTTGAAGAAATAATGACAGAAAACTTCCCCCACCTGGTGAAAGAAATAGACTTACAGGTCCAGGAAGTGCAGAGAACCCCAAACAAAAGGAATCCAAAGAGGACCACACCAAGACACATCATAATTAAAATGCCAAGAGTAAAAGACAAAGAGAGAATCTTAAAAGCAGCAAGAGAAAGAAACTCAGTTACCTACAAGGGAATACCCATACGACTGTCAGCTGATTTCTCAACAGAAACTTTGCAGGCCAGAAGGGAATGGCAAGAAATATTCAAAGTGATGAACAGCAAGAACCTACAACCAAGATTACTTTATCCAGCAAAGCTGTCATTCAGAATTGAAGGTCAGATAAAGAGCTTCACAGATAAGGAAAAGCTAAAGGAGTTCATCACCACCAAACCAGTATTATATGAAATGCTGAAAGGTATCCTTTAAGAAGAGGAAGAAGAAGAAAAAGGTAAAGATACAAATTATGAACAACAAACATGCATCTATTAACAAGTGAATCTAAGAATCAAGTGAATAAATAATCTGATGTACAGAATGAACTGGTGATTATAATAGAATCAGGGACAGAGAAAGGGAATGGACTGACTATTCTTGGGGGGAAAGGGGTGTGGGAGATTCGGGAAGAGACTGGACAAAAATCGTGCACCTATGGATGAGGACGGTGGGGAGTGAGGGCGGAGGGTAGGGCGGGAACTGGGAGGAGGGGAGTTATGGGGGGAAAAAAGAGGAACAAATGTAATAATCTGAACAATAAAGATTTAATTAAAAAAAAAAGAAGTAGGAGGAGTGCAAAATAAGAATAATAAAGTGGCACAAGGAAACTTAATGGTAACCGATGTCTTCATACTTTATTAATCTCGACTGTGATGATATATATGTTGTGGCATGAAATCTATGTTTAAATACCTTTGTTTCTTCATAGAATTTGAAAATATAAGTAAGACAATCCCTAAAGATAAGAGTAAATTTAGTATTCATACTTCAAGGCAGGAAGAATGATTAAGCGTTTACACAGGCACGTCTAATATTTAATTTCTGTGTTAGCAGGCTCACTGGGTGACAGGGAAAATGTCATGCTCTTCTTAATAGAATATTAAAATGGACCTTTTTCCTTAAGAGAAGACCTGGGATCCAGCCACAGTTTTGTCAAAGGATGTGAACAAATCCTTCTGCTTTGTAGGAAGGAACAATCTAGACTTGCTTATGTATCTTTGAGTCTTGCAAGGTCTGTTTTTAATAAGATGTTTGAAAAGAAATTATTCCTTCTATGAACCCATTTTAAATACAGTACTCAAGAACGAGATGGATGGCCTGATTTAAAGTTTTTGTATAGGGTAGTTATTTTATATTATTTTTATAATTTATTCTAGATGTTCTTCTGCATTTTTTGAGGAAGAAAGATCAGCATTAAAACAGAAACGACAGAAAATCCGGCTCTTGCAACAAAGGAAAGTTGCAGATCTTTCACAATTCAAAGATCTCCCAGATGAGATTCCTTTGCCCTTGGTCATTGGAACCAAAGTTACAGGTTAGTAAAGACAAGCTTACTGATATTTTGATTTTTAATTTTTCTCCAAAATAAACTCCATTAGAGAAATGACTTTTAAATTTAGAAAGCTTAAATATAATTCTACAGCAGTATACTATAGAGATAACTGTTTCTTCATCTGTGAATTGTTTTTCCTTTTTTAAAGCAGACTTTTCTGTGTAGTTCATAAACACCATTGTTCTTAGGATCCTTGGGTCTAGATATAGTCCATTTCTAATGATTTAATAAAACTAAATTATTCACTAGTTTGCCCAGAATTTTGTAAGGGTATAAATTTTGTCCATTTGTAGGTGTGATTCTGTATATTCTTCATTTATAACAGGGAGGGAAAGTACCGCCAAAACCAAGTTTAAATTAATCTTCAAGAATTTGGTAAACTAAAATCACAACTTATGTAGTACAAGAAATAGCAAGGTGATAAGTGAGTGGGTGGTTTAATTACAGAAATGTTTGAACTAATCAGGGACTGTTTCTGGAGGGAAGGGAGCCTTAGCTTTTACTTTTTTTTTTTTTTTTTTAATATATTTTATTAATTTTTTACAGAGAGGAAGGGAGAGAGATAGTTAGAAACATTGATGAGAGAGAAACATCTATCAGCTGCCTCCTGCACACCTCCTATTGGGGATGTGCCCGCAACCAAGGTACATGCCCTTGAACGGAATCGAACCTGAGACCTTTCAGTCTGCAGGCCAACGCTCCATCCACTGAGCCAAACCGGTTACGGCAGCTTTTACTTTTTTCCGGACTCTCTTAGGTACTCCCCACCCGTCCCTGTAGTTTTCCAGTTAGCCCAGGACTACGGAGAGCTTACCTCAGCCCTTTTATGGCTCTCCAGTGTCCAGGATCTCTGTTAAATGTCGGGCTATTCTGCCACTCATGTCAGCCAGGACTATCCCATGGGCTTACACAGCTGTGGGTTTTTCTTCTTTGCTGATGTAGTTCATCCCTTTTCACTGGCAGAGTCACAGGTGTTACCTCTTGGTCCACATCGAATCTGCTCCCTATGGCAACAGCACGGCTGGTTTCCATGAGCAGCCATCGCACTAGTAAAGCCATTTTCACCAACCAGTGGTGGGGGTGGGGGATGTGCATAGCCTCATACAAACGGCCACTGACTTCCTGACTTTACCTGAAGCTGTGACAGTTTTCAACACTGAACCTTTCTTAGTTGTTTTTGCATTTGACCCATTTCCACTTCACTGAAATGGTTGTGTGTACAGGTTTATACTTGTTTTGTGGAGAAGAGTCACCAGCCTCTTCATGCTGTCATACTGGGAGTCCTTCTCTGTATTTATGCTGCTTATTCAACTTTATTTATTACTTATATCTTCTACACACCTGTGCCTTTTCCCTTCATTGATCTGTCAAAGACTGCAACTAGTTTAGGCTCCTACAATTGTGTTTTTTTTAATCAATTGATTCTTTTAAACAGTCTTATATTGAATATTTATGTTCTGTTAAAATGATGCTGTGTATTGTACTTTTTTGTCCATACACAATGTGTCACTTTGCCTAGTTTTTAAAAAAAATATATATTTTTATTGATTTCAGAGAGGAAGGGAGAGGGAGAGAGAGAGAGAGAGAGACATCAGTGATGAGAGAGAATCATTGATCGACTGCCTCCTGCACGCCCCACACTGGAGATCGAGCCCACAACCTGGGCATGTGCCCCGATCGGGAATTGAACTGTGACCTCCTGGTTCATAGGTCGATGCTCAACCACTGAGCCACGCGGGCCGGGCTCACTTTGCCTTACAGGCCATTCTTATATTTTTCACTCAAAAGAATATGAGTGAAAAATGGTTGTTTGCTTGGATTTTCCTGATGTTATTTCAGATTGGATTTAGATAATAGTGACACCAAAATTCACCTGTGTGAGGGGTCCCCAAGACTGCCCTCGAGTTGGTGATTCACTAGAAAGAGTCAGAGTGCTCACCACTCAGGGCCTTGGCTTATTACAGAGAAGGATAAAAGCAAAGTTAGCAAAGGGGAAGGTGCACCGGGCAAAAGTCTAGAGGAAACGAGCGCCAGCTTCCCAGAATCCCTTCCTGGTGTCACACATGACTTGCTTAGTCCCTCCAACAGCAGGTGTAACTGCACCTGAGGTATTGGCTACCAAAGTAACTCGTCAGATGCAGTACCCAGGTTTTTATTGGGGGGCTGGTCATGTAGGTACTCTCTTATAGCATATACTGCAATTCCAGACTCCCAAAGGAAAGCGAGTACTCAGCATACATCACACCGTGTTTACAAACATCCTAGGCACAGGAAACCACCTTGATCAGTATGGGAACACTCTTGAAATTCAAGTTCTCGGATGCCGATCTTGCAGTCAGGCCTTTCCAAGGAAGGATAGCAGTCTTAGGCCTAGAATATTCATTCTTCACAGCATCCCTGTCTTTTTTCTTTTTCTTTTTTTTCAAGTCGAACTCTACCTGTTGTTTCACTCATTAGTGCAATAACCAAAGTTCTTTTGTTGACTTTTCTTTTTTTTAGTTCAGAGTTTAAAGCCGTGATTTTAAAGTATTTTGTTTTTAGGTTGGTAGACACGAGATTTCATTCATATATCAAAATAGGGATCATCATTTATAGTTTTCTTTTTTTTTTTTAAATATATTTTATTGATTTTTTACAGAGAGGAAGGGAGAGGGATAGAGAGTTAGAAACATCGATGAGAGAGAAACATCGATCAGCTGCCTCCTGCACACCCCCTACTGGGAATGTGCCCGCAACCCAGGTACATGTCCTTGACCGGAATCGAACCTGGGACCCTTCAGTCTGCAGGCCGACGCTCTATCCACTGAGCCAAACCGGTTAGGGCTCATTTATAGTTTTCTATCAAAAATTTTTTTGTTTCTCTAAACTGAAAATAAAATGCGTAAATTTTTTTGGACACTATAACAGACAACAATACTATTCTTTCTATGTTTCAAATTACATGCTTGGAGCAGTTTTGCATTTGACAGTTCTTTATATCTTCCAAACATAATGCCTTTTTTGGTTCTTTTCTCAGCACGATTACGTGGTGTTCATGATGGTCTGTTCACTGGGCAAATAGATGCTGTGGATACTTGTAACGCTACTTACAGAGTAACTTTCGATAGGACAGGGCTGGGAACCCATACTATCCCTGACTACGAAGTTCTTGTGAGTATTTCATAATATATTTGTATGTTATGCATATTAACTATGTTACGTAGAATTTTCTTAGAGATTGTCCTGTATGATATCACCAAGATTTCAGGTCACTGAGGAAAAGATCCTTAGGGTTCCAAGCCCTGCCTCTGGGACCCCTGGGACAGAACTATACATAAGCATTTCACATTGTTGAGAATCTGCCATTTCTCTATTAGACCTTAACCACATAGCACTTTAGTGAAACAGAACTCGTCACTTCTGACTCGAATAAGCTCTATAAACACTTTCGTTTCAGCTGTTTTGTTAAAGTATAGTCCTCTTAAATGATTTTTAAAGTCTGAGGTAACATCTTTCACTTTAAAGTTTGTTCTCCTGTTTATCCCCAGCATTCTATAGGGCAGGTGTTAGTCACTCCCACTTCTTGCATGATGACACTGAGACATTAGTCATTACAAATACTGTAAGTAATTTAGTCCAGGCTCTAGAGCTGGTTTCCTGATGGGCTGAGAGAGGAATTCAGGTCTTTCGAGTTTCTGATACAGTCCACTAAACTACTGGGCTGTTATTTCATGATTGTACTTGATCTAGCAATGTCATGAAAATTATACACCTTTCTAATAAGTTAAAATAATTTTAAGAACTAATCTCTGCAATCTAACAAAGCTTTTAAAAAGTGAATAATGAACTTTAAAAAAAATTTTATTGATTGATTTGAGAGAGAAACAGTTTGTTGTTCCATTTATTTATGCATTCATTGGTGGTTTCTTATATGTGCCCTGACTAGAGATTGAACCTGCAACCTTGGTGTACTGGGACAACACTCTAATCAAGTGAGCTCTACCTGGCCAGGGCTCAATAATGAACTTTCTTTTTTTTTAATCCTCACCCAAGGATGTGCTTTTATTGATTTTTAGGGAGGGTCTGGGGGAAACATTAATCACCTGCCTCCCCTGTGCACCCCAACCAGGAATCAAACCTGCAACCTAGATATGTGCCCTGATCAGGAATTGAACCTTTTGGTATGTGGGATGATGCTCAACCAACTGAGCCACACCGGCCAGGACAGTAATGACTTTTTTATAGTAAAACTAGTGCCCCAGTGCACAAATTTGTGCACATTGAAAGGAAATTAATTAGAAGGTGGCTGGCAGGACGGTACTGGGCCAGATGGGCCGGACACGCCCTGGAGCCAACCTCCCAAGGTCCCTCCCAGGCCGGCCGCACCTGGGGCAGTGCTGTGGCTCAAAGGGCGTCTTTGGAATGAGCGGGGTTCCTCCGGCAGGTGGGGTTCCTTGGCCTGGCCTGTGGGGATTGGGCCGAAACGTGCTCTCTGACATCCCCCAAGGGGTCCCGGATTGCGACAGGGCAGTTCTCAGGTAACGGACCCTGGAATTGGGCTCCCTCCTCTCTGGTTCCGGGTGCGTCACTCAAGAACCGCCGCTGCTCAGTAACTGCAGCTTGTCAGCTCCTGCGTTGAGCGTCTGCTCCCTGGTGGTCAGTGTGCATCATACCTAGCCACCGGTCGGACAGTCGCTTAGCCTTTTAATATATATAGATTGTTTGCCTCTAAGCATCTTGGAAATTAAATTGTTAGCCTTTAGCCTCCCTTTTTAAAAATTTCTTTAATTTGACTTTTAAGGTTTATGAGCCTACAATTAAAAATCAAAATTTATGCCCTAGCTGGTTTCGCTCTGTGGTTAGAGCAGTGATTCTCAACCTGTGGGTCGCCAACCTATGGGTCGCGACCCCTTTGGGGGTCGAACGACCCTTTCACAGGGGTCGCCTAAGACCATCAGAAAACACATATATAATTACATATTGTTTTTGTGATTAATCACTATGCTTTAATTATGTTCAATTTGTAACAATGAAAATACATCCTGCATATCAGATATTTACATTACGATTCATAACAGTAGCAAAATTACAGTTATGAAGTAGCAACGGAAATAATGTTATGGTTGGGGGTCCCCACAACATGAGGAACTGTATTAAAGGGTCGCGGTATTAGGAAGGTTGAGAACCACTGGGTTAGAGTATCAGCCTGTGGACTGAAGGGTTGCGGGTTCGATTCCAGTCAAGGGCATGTACCTTGGTTGCAGGCTCAATCCCTGGCCCTTAGGCATGTATAGGATGTAACCTATCGATGTGTCTCTCTCACATCAATGTTTTTCTCTCTTCCTCTCCCCCCCTCCCTTACACTTCTTTAAGAATCAATGGATAAAATACTCTCAGGTGAGGGTGAACAACAAAAACAAAATAAAAAAATCAAAATTTCTTTATCTCCTTAGTGTAAAAATAAAAAGAATCTTCCTTTTCTGATATGTACTTTTTAAAAACTATGACTATTTACTGTGAGGGTTTCCTTATCCAACAGAATTTTTAGAGAGGACAAATAAGAGAGAAAGAAAATTTGGACTAGCTATAGAGCAAAGAACACCAAACATAAGTTTTTTCATTGAAGGATGAAATCTTTCAACCTTCCTTTCCAATATAGGAAAATGGTTTCTGTTTCATCAATGTAATTTCCTTTTTGAGAACACCTAACTATTTTTCTCTGGCCAGAGAGTTCACTTTAATTACAGTAGGTAGCATTTAGATGGTCTTTAACACACAGGCAGCATCATTGATCCTCTGTTTTGGTCTTTTGGTCTTTTTCTTTTAAAAAAAAAAATATATTTTATTGATTTTTTACAGAGAGGAAGGGAGAGAGATAGAGAGCCAGAAACATAGATGAGAGAAACATCGATCAGCTGCCTCCTGCACATCTCCCACTGGGGATATGCCCGCAACCAAGGTACATGCCCTTGACCGGAATCGAACCTGGGACCCTTCAGTCCGCAGGCCGACGCTCTATCCACTGAGCCAAACCGGTTTCGGCTTTTGGTCTTTTTCTTAATTCTTCTTGTTTTGTGGGTTCACTTTCTTGGTAGTCAAGTAGTATTTTCATACTCTGACTTAAGTTCTAGCCCTTTGATCTTTGTAGGATAATATATTCTCTGGAAAACCGTATGAGCTAGTGTATATCAAGCAGAAATGTCATGTGTATGAGACTAAAATGATTGGCAAACTTCTACAAGTCTAGGACTTTTCTCGTTTCCCGTAGAGTAATGAGCCTCATGAGACAATGCCCATTGCTGCCTTTGGACAAAAACAGCGGCCTTCTCGGTTTTTTATGACTCCACCACGGTTGCATTACCCTCCTCTTCTCCCAGCACCCACTACGGTAACGTTTTTAAAATGTCATCAGTAATTTAAATGGTTATTATCAATGTGAATTATGTTTTTATGAAATATACATCTATTACAGCAGCCTCAGGAGGGGCCCATATTATTTTGAGTTGTCAGATTTTAAATAAAATAGTAACCAGTTGCTTCAACTGGAAATATTTTTGTAGACTTTTTAATACAATATTAAATATAAGAGAATTGAGTCTTTATCTAAATACTAGTGGCCTGGTGCACGAATTCGTGCACATTGAAAGGAAATTAATTAGAAGAAATATTTTAATGTCGCTGTTTGCCCTTTCTCTATAATAGAAGTGTCAACCAAATTCACAGTGGACAATGACAGATGGAAAAACGCATGCGATTGGCGTCAGCGAGAGCTTTATATGTATCACGCATGTGTGTCAACTTAGCCTTTTATAGATATAGAATAAAGTTGCTTAATTTGACCTGCTTTCTGATTTAGCTAAACTTTTTCCAGCCCAGTGAAGCACCCCAACTTCTTTTTCAGGTAATTGTTAGCAACACAGCAGTAAATATCAACACGAAGCAGATTATTATTGTAGATCACACAGGGAGAACTAAGGGTAAAATATTTAACTGCAGCAGTGTTTGACTATATTCTGCACAGTGAGAAAACCTAGTCATTTTCAAGTCGGGTCAAGTTTCTAAGCTTTCTAAATCTCCGTTTTCTGGCTAATGAAAAGAAAATAGGATTCCACCAAGTCTCCTATCTACCTGCTCCAGGAC